TGTACACACGGCCAAGTTACCTGAAGCAGAGGGACAAAAGGTACTGTCCCCACGTTATTAGAAAGAACTGTATTACGGTCCATACGCCTGAGACGTGGTAGGCTTAGATAGCTGTGTACTTCATTTGAACGTGGCAGCGACTGCGCTTTTGGTGCAATATTTTCATTTTTGGATAATTTTAGTGTGTTATTCGTCCGGCTTGAGACAGGGCGTCACTTACTAGAAAGTGAAATATCACCCGAATAGCCTATCTTACAACATTTCCAAATGATGTACGCAGCCACGTCCTGCCGCTTCTCGGGGACGTGGAGCTTGTGTTCAGGCGCAGGAGCAAGGACAGTCGCAGCGAGACAGTGCAGAAAGGGCTAAGCTCCCGGTGGCAGAAGAACAAAAGGTGTGGTTCCTACTTTCGTAACCGGAATCGGAACCACAAGGTTCCTTCGTTTTCAGCCAGCGGACAAAGGCATCCCGCAGCAGGAAAGCGTACGAACGGCTAAGCTCCTGGAAACAGAGGGACAAAAGGTACCGTCTTCAGGTCCTTAGAAGGAACTGAAATCCACTAGCTTGTATTCAGGCGCTGGAACAAGTACAGCCGCAGCAAGACAGCGCTGTAAAGGCTAAACCTTCGGAAGCAGAAGAACCCAAGGTTTGGTTTGATCTTCTTCGATTGATTTTGTTGAGTACGAAATCAATGTTTAGCCACAAGAAGAGAACCAGCCGCAGCAGGAGAACGTACGAACGGCTGAGCTCCCGGAAACAGAAGAACAAAAGGTATCATCAATTTTTAGGGGAAAGAAGGATCTTATGTACGTTTGTTTACAGGCGCCGGAGAAAAGCCAACCGCAGCAGGAAAGCGTCCGAACGGCTAAGCTCCCCGGAAACAGAGGAGCAAAAAGTACCGTTTCGACACCCTCAGAAGGAATCAAAGTTTAGTCGTTTGTTTCTAGGCGCTGGAGCAAGGCCAGTCGAAGCGAGATAGCGCTGAAAAGGCTAAACCTACAGAAAAAGGAGAAAGCGCAGAAAAGGCTCAAGCTTCGGAAGGAGGAGAAAGCGCAGAAAAGGCTGAACTTCCAGAAGGAGGAGTACAAAAGGTGAGGTGCGCCAGTATGTACTGTAGATTTGTAAGTACGACAGCATTGTTCAGCCCACAGCAGGAGAGCGTACGAACGGCTAAGCTCCCCGAAACAGAAGGACAAAAGGTACCATTCCGTCACTCTCAGTACGAAGTGAGATTTAGTAGTTAGCTTTCAGGTGCTAGAACAAGGCCAATCGCAGCGAGACAGCGCAGAAAAGGCTAAACCCGCGGAAGGAGAAGAACAAAAGGTGTGGTCCCCATTTTCCCAGTAGTTTTTGGTATGTACGAAGTCAATTTTCAGCCACAAGAACAGGGCCAGCCACAGCAGGAAAGCGTTCGAACGGCTAAGCTCCTCGAGGCAGAGGGAGAAAAGGTGCCGTTCCGTCATATTAAGTAGAATTAATTTCAAGAGTTTGTTTCCAGGGGATGGAACAAGGCCAGTCGCAGCGAGATAGCGCAGAAAAGGCTAAACCTCCGGAACCAGAGGGACAAAAGGTATGCTTACCACATTTTCATTAGATTTTGGTAAGTACAAAATCAATTTCTAGTCACAAAATCAGGGCCAGGAAAGCAAAGACTTAGTTACTGGAATTAGGGGGACAGTAGTAGGGCCGTCCTCAAGCTTTTAGTAGGAACTGTAGTCTACTAGCTTGTATTCAGGCGCCAGAACAAGGACAGTCGCAGAAAGACAGCGCTTTTGAGCTACCAATCGGTATAGGAACCGTGGAAGTGCGTTTCAAGCCATCGAAAAAAGACGTGACAAAGGAGGAAAGCGTGCGAACGGCTAAGCTTCCAGAAGCAGAAAAACAAAAGGTATCGTAATTTTCTAAAGGGAAGTGGTATCTTATAAGTTCATTTCCAGGAGCCCGGAGAAAGTCAAATACAGCAGGAAAGCGTACGAACGGCTAAGCTCCCTGAAGGAGAAGGACAAAAAGTACCGTTCTACCACGCTCAGTATGAATTGAAATTTAGCAGATTGTTTCCAGGCGCCAGAGCAGGGCCAGTCGCAACGAGATAGCGCAGAAAAGGCTAAACCTCCGGAGGCAGAAAAACAAAAGGTATGATTATCTTCTCAACTGGGATCGGAATCTTGGATTCTTACGTTTTCAGCCAGCTGAGGCTGACACCCCAGGAAAGCAGGAAAGCGTACGAACGGCAAAGCTTCCGGAAACAGGGGAACAAACGGTATCGTCATGTTTTATTTAGAGGAAAATGGCATCTTATAAGTCTGTTTGCAGGCGACGGAGAAAAGCCAACCAAAGGAGGAAAGTGTGCGAACAGCCGAGCTCCCAGACACAGAAAAACAAAAGGTGTGGTCCCCAATTTTCAGTAGAGCAATAAGTTCAAAATCAATTTTCAGCAAGCTGAAAAAGGACAGCCACAGCAGGAAAGCGTGCGAACAGCGAAGGCTGCTGAAGATGTGGAAGAAAAAGTATAAGTTTCAGTTTCCTGCTCCCAGCATAGACTAGAATGTCCGAAATTTGTTTTAGGCACAGCCTGAAAGCGGTGAATCACCACAGGTCAAGCCTAGTGAAGACAAGGTGTGATCATATTGTTTTTAACACATTTTCAAAGGAGAAACCTTAGAGGCAGTGGACACTAAAGTTTTTTGTCCGGCCGAAGCAAAGTCGCCAAATAGTACAACAGTGCAGCAAAAATGGAGCAGAAATGCCGAAAACTAGCGGATTCAAATTCTTCTTTCTTCGCGGGCGTGGACAATCCCTAGCTTGCGGACCCGGGAGTCGCATTAAAGGAACTGTCCGCGATGACCTATGAAAATGCAAGAGGTTATGTGGGAAGGTAGTGCGGTCCGGAGTGGACAACCCTGTGCCAGTTTCGCGGCGGAAAGTTGTACGGTAAAGGAATTAAGGCGCAAAGTTGCTTCAGTGGTACATCCCTTTTTCCAGTGACTCCGCCTCCAGACTCCGCCTCCAAAGTCGGCCTTCCAGCCAAAAGTAATGCTCCCGGGCAAGTATCATGGAGTGGATGCATTCAATGTCTCTTGTAGAGTCATAGGGTTCATTACTGGGAATCAGCCGACGGGAATCGTCCCAGCGCGCGGTCTTTTCGGTCTTTTACCTCTACAGTTGTTTGAGGCTAGAGGAGGCCTGACGAATGCGTTTCCAACGTTCCCTTTGGCATTTTCTCTTCATAGACGGTTCACTTGGCGAATTTTCTTCCACATTTCTGCAACATCACCTTGGCTTTTATCGCGGACCTTGCCTTTAGCAAGTGCAGAGTATACTCATTTTCCCTACAAACTAGAGGGCACGCGAAGTGGTCTGGAATGGAGCCAGGGCAGCTTTTTCTGCCTACAGCTGCTTGCCCAGGATAGCATCACTTGGTGGAAAAGTTTGTCTCCAATCGGCGTCGCCCCGTCATCCCCTGACACGCCCTCTCGTTTGCAGGGATAACGACTGTTTATGGAAAGGATACTCCCTTTATGTAGATGCAAGACGGGCGTTTGAGCGCATTCAACCGGTGGCACGTATCCTCTACAGAGGATAAATTCAATTAGAGATTAAGAAGTAAGAAAAAAAATCTAATTTACGTTTCTCTAGGTGGAATCGAACAAGCAAGTCATTGTGTATAAGAAAAACGAAGCTTTCGTACCCACTCCGGGTACAGAAGACTTGCCAGTTGCCGTGTGTATCGACGATATAGAACGCAGTGTGAGACAATTTGTATACTTGCGTAGTTCAGCATATTCAACTCGTGACGAGAGGGGCAGGGCACATCATTAATTGGGGGTTTTGGTCGAGTTGAGAGAGATAGTCGAAAAGAACAGTCATGAATCTCCAGTCAAACAACACAACACGTATACCATCAGACAAACTTAGCGGATTATATATAGTAGGATTATTCGTCATTCGAGTTCAGCTGGAACCTTTATTCTAGAGGTCAAATGCGACATGCATGCGACATGTTCGGAGAACTATCAATGGATATAGAGTGCGGTTCTATTAGGTCATCCCATTCAAAAGTGCCGCGACATATAGAGGAATGGCAGAAAAGCAAAGGGGATAGGGAAGCGGGCTACTATACCATTTGGAGGCTAGTACCTTTAGCTGTGTATCTGTGAAATTTGGCGAACCTACCCACAGAGGAAGTCTCGAGAAATTGAAAAGAAAGCCTCGAGTGGTGGAGAATCAGCGCCGATTTTCCAAAATCAGACGTCATAGAGAAAGGAGAGAGCGCTGCTCGTAAAAATTGACCGCGCCGGGACCACGTATGTGTTAATGGTGGTTCTCGATATTACAAAGATGGTAGGTTCGGTTTTCAGGAGGGCCCGAGAAGGAAGAAAGGAAAAAAAAAAATGTAGGTCGTGGATGTCCCAATAATGTTCGTCAAAAAAATGTGGGAGGAATTTCAGCGCTGAATGTCTGATCACAGAGCCTGGACCTTTGTCGAGCTTCCCCGCGAGACTGACATCCCTGCCGCAACTGCTGCCCGAGTTATGTCCGATAAACTGAGGATGGTCAAGAGGGTGTGCGCATGAGGCACCTAATTTTCTTGCAGAAGCAGGAAAGCACTACCTATTCTGTGCATCTAGCAGAATGTCCATCAGCATGTGATGTCCATCCACGATGTGAAAAACGGCCCGCCGCTAGATGAAATATCGGTATCTCGGAACGCTCTGAGCCGTCGAACTCACAATCGTCAATTTTGTATGAATGCAGATGAGAAGCCGCCCGAGTTCTACCATGAAGAGTTACGTGGGCACAAGTGGATGATCATCATAGCGAAGGATTCCTACACTGAGGCTTTTAGGCGGCTCTATACAGAGAATGAAATCGTCGCAGTCGGTGTATATTGCCTGTTCTTCGGCAATCATATCGACAAATGGATGATACCACACAACTACAAGAAGGCCACTGTTGCTCGTCATAGTGCCAGACCCCGAGTAACTGTATATAGGGGCAGTGCTGGGACACAAAGCAGTACTGAGTCCGTGGTCAAATCCTCCATTCGCGTGGCGCAGACCATGAAAGCCTACGATTCCAATTGCTCTCGCCAGTCGAGAGTATCTCCGTACGGAACGCTACAAGTTGATGTCATTTCGCCGAAATTGGCATCAACAGTAATTCACTCGCACTTGTTGAAAAATCGAAGGTAGAGGTCCAAAGGCTTTCGGGCACTGGGAGCGGGTCATTGGCAGAGGCACGGATTTACGAGCGACTCATTGGTAAAGGAGGATGACTAACTTGAAGCCAAAATATTACTATTTTATCTATCCTCCTCTTTGGTTTATTCCAATAAAACCGACGGCACTTTTGAATGGGATGACCTAAAAGAAGAAGCGGTTCAATACAGCATTAACTGCAGGAGTAATGATCTCTCATTCCAATAATCTTCTTACTTTTGGTAAGCTCACAGGCGTGCATATTTCGCGAAAACAGGGGGAGAGGAAGAGGAAAAAACAGGGGGAGAGGAAGAGGAATACGGGTCCATTTTTGCACGTGAATCTAGTCCATCGTCGGATTACGAGAGCAATAAGAGGACGCAGTTGCGAGAGGATTCACAAGAAAGAGAAGCTGAGACGCACTCTATATATCCCTGAAATAGGGCCCTGTCTTGTGCTGGGCAAGAAGGCAACAACTGTTCCATAACGCAATGTTCCACAAAAAAAAACGCATTATACACCGTTTTCGAACAGCCGCGCTCTTCCCACCTCTGAGATGTGGTATATGGGAGAGGATATTTGGCTGGGGAATGCGAAGCTTAGGCTGTGACGCCCATTTTTGCCCTACCATAAGGACGATAGCCAGTCGAGACCAAAGAAACTCTCAGTATTTCGAAGTCTCCGACATTTTGGAGGACATTATTCAGTCTATGTGCTCGCAGTCAAATTGCTCACAACAAAAAAAAAAATCTATTTTTTGTTCAAGCAGGAGAGGTTTTGAGTCGCGTGTTATCACAAGAGCTCTACTCTAAAACGGTTTTGGCCGCGCCCACCCCGTAGAACTCTGGTCCGCAACATGAGAAATGAAATTTTTTTGATGAAACTTCATTTGGCCGTACTTTTCAGTGTTCTCACCACCAGTGCTAAATGTGATATTTATTTTCGTCGCTAGAGCAAAACCAGGGTCATATTCGTGTGATACACTGAATAGCCTTAATAGACGTAGCTTTAGCGAGAATTGCTAGGTTGTGACAGCTAACACACACAAAGGGCCGCAATCCCACTAGTGTTTCAGTGGTCCTCATCTCTAGGAGGGTTTTTTTGGAAAAAAAAAAAAGGTCAGGCTCAAAGCTCTATGAGAGCATTCCGACGCAAACGTTAAATGTATTGTTATTATTATAGCATTATTCACTGTCTACAGCGATCATTCTCGCAAAACCCACACATGTGCGAAGAAAGTTCGGAATTTCTGAACGGTTCCTTCAATGTTTAAGGTCTCTTAATCTTTTCAATGGCAAACTAGGAAAACAAACGAGCATGACGGCCGTAGAGGTTCTCGGAGCAAGCACTCTGACAAGCAGTGCGAAACTCGACATCTTCGCGATATATTAAGAATTCGGACAATTTTTGAATCTTAAATGTAGAAAAATGTGGTAGAACTCACGATTTGTCGTGCTATTGCTATCCTGTGATAGAAGTTGTTCGGCCAAAGTTGCGCAGAACACTACGGAAAAAGCAATGAGATGCTGTTGCCAGATGAGAGACATAGAGCTTTTGATAGAGGCGCTCGGAATACGAATGAAAGCGAACCGGCCAAGCGAACTAATCCTTTTCTTCCTACCAATACAAGCGCCTGCTCTTAGTTATAGGACAGAGGGATTACATGTTGGCACAAATAATAGCTTTTCACGCTTTTTGTTATGAAGGCTATATGTATGCAGACAACTGCACTTACTTGATCGAGCGAACTGAAATAGCCAACACTTCTGAAGTAAGACGATTTGCATCACTATACACATCATGCTTGTTGGCTCATTTTGGAACTTGAAGCCACCTTTGGCATCGTTTATTCAAGCAAAGCAGCGCAGTGTATGACATGTGAGGTGCTTGTGCTTGCAAGGGAGGGGGTCATTCGTCCTGAACGCCTCCCTTATTAGAGACACGTTTCACGTACCTGCAAAATGGGGGAGAATGGC